TGGAATAGGATACAAGAAGATCAACTTAAAATCAGTGGAAACACAGCTGCAGCAGTAATCAGGAGGTCCAGAAGGAGCCATAGTAGCACTGATCAGGGCTGCAGTGGTTGTCCTCCTACAATGACTCCACAGACAGTCAACTACTTTCACAATCCAGCTGTGAACACCAGACAAAGGCAGCTGCTTCAGACTTGGCACAGGGGTTATCAATGGAAATGAGAGTTTCTGTGAAGCTCAGACAGTGTGAAGGACACTTCAGAACATCAATTTCATGGACAGAGGACAAGAAAAACACCCTTGTTTGCTCTTTATCACAAAACTAAAAGATAAAACTTTGCTAAAGATCATGAACAGAACCCTGATGAATGTTGGAGAACAAACTTTGGTCAGATGAAGATTAATGTGTTGGGCTCAGATGGAGTCCAGATGTTTGGTGTGAACCTGACCAGGACCACCACAGTGGATGCATCGTCCTGACAGTGAAGCACGGAGGTGGCAATATCATGATATGGGGCTGCATGAGGGCAGAAGGTGTTGATGAAATTTATAGATGAATGTCTGAGGATAAACCAGAATACTGGCTGAATAGATGACTCCCAGTCTGCAGAAGCTGGAAGAAGAGCAATATTCCAGCAGGAGAACCATCCAGAGAACAAAATCAAGAGTTTCTGAAGAAGAAGAAAGGGAAAACTACGACCTGGACAAGTATGTGGTCTGACTTGAATCCAATAGGAAACCTTTGGGGTGTTTTATAGAGAAAGGTGGAGCAGCACAACCCCTCCAGCAAAGAAAAACAGTGTCTGAAGAATGTTTGAACGTCTCTGCAGACTGATATGAATCTCAGTAATGAAAGTTGGACTGACTTTTGTGGCATTGAGGTATTTTTTATATAGTAAATCTAAACTGTTTGTTTTTAACTTTACATCAGAGCAAATACCTTCTGTTCTACCTAGAAGTGATGCGATTCCCTCTAACAGGATGCAGTCGGTTCGCGTGTGGTTTTGATTCTTCAGTTTCCGTTTCATTTTGCTGCAAAGTTACGTGTAAATTCAAAAACGCTCTCGGATATTATGATGATGTGATAATTTATTGAACATAATTGCCTCTATTTCTGTTTTCCCTCATCCCTCGTTTTCCGTAGTTTTCCCTCTTTAATGAAGTCCTCGGCTCCGTTTTACGAACCGCCTCCCTTTGATTCTCATTTATGCTGAAAGTTTGCAGCGTCCGCAGAGAGATGGACCGCATGCGAAACGGCGCACGGATGAGTTTATTCCAGTCGCTTTCTGCGTTTGGTTTGCATATCAGAGCAAAGCTGCAGTTACGCTTTCATACACGTGTGCGCTCATGTAAACAGGAGGAGGGGGTTTCTCCACGTTTTCTGCGCGGGGGGATGGGGTCGAGGCTGAGTTTGCGTCTTTGTCTGTCAAATAAATTATTTAAATCCCACCACAATTAAAGCTGAAATCTGTTATCGGCGTCCTCCATTAGAGGCCCGTGTGTCTGCCGTGCTGCCTCGGTGTGCTTCCCCCCCGTCTGGGCTCAGCGTGAGGCCGGATAAAGATCACAAGCTCTGAATCTTAAACACACACCCCGGCAGAACAAAGGCCAACGTCTTCATCATCACAGGGGCGTATGAATATCTCGCCAGAGCTTCTTTTCTTTTTTTCTTCTTCTTCTTTTAAATGTAAAATGTTGATAAAGCGCGTGTTTAATTTGCACCGTGGAGGTTCTTGTGATGTGACGGCGGGCTGCAGTGGAGGCTTACATGTTCCACACTTTCTCTAGAAACAGCTTCATTTATTCATGGCTGTTTATGATTCTTGTTTTTTTCTGTTTCTTTAAAGCTCGCTGCCTCGTTCCTTCTTTTCGTTTCATCTCTCTCCTCTTTACTCAGATGTATTTTTTTGCCACAGCATTCGTCACCGTAGATTCCCCTGTGGTTTATCAACTTAGGAAAACTTTCATTTACTAAATGTACATCTGCTTCGAAAGAGACGTAATTTCTGACCACCTGTCCCATTTTTATTATTCTATTAATTCATATACAAACAACAGTTGGTTCTTTGAAATACACATATAAAATTAGAAACAGGTCTTTAAAAACTAGAAGATTGAAGATGTCAGACTGAATCGGGGGATTTTTAACTTTCCCGAAGTAGAAACCAGATTTATCCTTAAAAATCCCTTTCATCTAAATTCACCAAAAATACATTGTTTGCTCTAACAAGTTCATTAAAAAAAATCTAAATAAATAAAAATTCTGCGCTTCTCGGTGCAATCGTGATGCGAGCGCTGACTCACCTCGCATCAACAGTCATGTCTCAAAAATTCAGAGAACTTTCATCTGAACTGCAGGATGTTTACGGAGAGCGGATAGGAGACGTCTAAAAACAGATTTAAAATGTAAAAAGTGAAATATCTGTAGAATGTAGAGACACTTCTCTTTCTTTTCTAGTATTTTAACACCTGTGGACACTTTGGGAAATCTCGTACAAATTGATTCCATAGACTGTATAAAAGATGGACGTAGCTACGTCACCCGTTGGTTTCTGCACTGAGAAAATGAAGCCAGGGTTTTGCTACTTCCTGGTTGACATCAAAAATCGTCAGAGGGGGGCGGAGCCATAGGAGCAGCGATTGGTCAGACGGATTGAGAGGCGGGCCCTCTCTGCCCGCCCACATTTACCGCCTTCTGTTCGCTTCGTCTGTATTGTCGCTGCCGACTGTCAATCAAGCCAGCCACGCCCTTGCCCCGGAAAATGTTGACGATTTTTTAAAAATTCTGTATTGATTTATTTTCAGATTGGCCACCTGATCTCTGGACTTGACCATGAAAACTAATTTTTTTAAAAATCCTGAGCTGGAGGAATGCGATATTTTGTGATCTGTGATCACTTCTTTTCCAATTCATTTCTATGGGAGCCAGGGCTTTTTGGAGCCAGGACTAGTAGACGTGATATTGCAGGTTTTTGACACTTCCGGGTTGGCTTCACTTTTCAGGGCTGGTTGCTACGTCCATCTTTTATACAGTCTATGATTGATTCCAGCTTTTTTTTTTTTTTTTAGTTTTTGCAACGAAAAAAAGAAAAATCTAAGAGAATCAGCTTTGTTTTCTTTTGTAGAATTGATGTCATTGGCTGTCATTCTGCACTGAACACATTTCTTTCTCCTTCTTCGTGGTTTTATTTGTTTATTTTTTGCAGAATCTGGAGCAAATGCTCATTTTTTTGGCAGTTTTTTATTGAGACATGTACAATAAAGTGAATTTTAGATGAAAAATCACAGTTTTAAGCTTGTTTTTGGCCATTTTTTTCTGATGGAACCAAACATCACACGTAACACACTCGAGGGCTGTCGGATTCTTTATGTTCATATGGTTTCTGGCTCTGAAAAATGGTGTAACTTCGTACACATCTTGGTTATTCCTCCTTCTGTCTGATAGCGTCTTGTGCTGCTGACATTCGGTGACTCTGCGGGTGTTTTGACTGATGCCGCTGCTGTTTTGGCTCAGCTTATTTGGCCTCTTGTCATTTCATGTTGCTCTAAAACACCTTGTCCGTGTGGAGAAGCAGCTATCGGAAGAAAGCAACACATAGATGAACAAGTTGAGACAGAAGACACGGTGAAAAAGAACACAACGCTGACAAAATATTGTGATGTTGTCTTAAACTTAAGGATGTTTTGGTACCTGACAAACAGCAAATAAAATCCAAAATTGAGTAAAAACTAATCATAAGTATGAAAATGATGGAAGCAAGGTTGTGGCTCTTTAAAATCGGAAGTCTTTCTTGTCCGACATTTTGATGGAGGACTTGTTTTGGAATCTGGCATGAAAACACAAATTAATGTTGACTTTTTTTTGGACTGTCTTTGTACATATGAAGCTCACACTAATCTGATAGAAGCAGCTCCCGACAGAGAGAAGAAATGCAGAAGGAGGCTGTTTTTCCCCCAAAATTCTTTCCTACTACAGCTTTAAAAGCCTAATATGTACATCTGTAATCTGTTTCTCAGATTTGCATGTACAGCAGCATCTTATCCTTTATCACGTCGTCCTTTGTAGAATCAATGCAGGGATGGCATCTTCACCAGCAGCTCCAATGTGCAGTTTCATACCTTGTTTTTTTGTTTTGGAAAAAAACATGTTTTTCTTACATTTATTTTCCATCCGTCACCTAAACGAGGTGAAAGCCCGACCCACCTACTTGTCTCTCGTCTGGCTTTTTGACAGGACGTTGGAGTGGATTGATGCTGCTGCTGCTGCTGCTGCTGCTCCGATACTGTTTCAGCTGCACATTTTTAATGCAACCGTGCTGATTTTAGCTGCTTTGGAAACATTCAGCAAATGTGAAACGTTTAAAGGACGCTTTGTCGTGCACGTTCGTGCTCAGGTCACCTATTTGTGAGATGAGAGGCTCAAACTTTAACTGTGCTATGTCGTGAAAGAGGCTGAATAAGGGACAAAACCTCCATTCATATGCCGCATTCCTGAGCGCGAGTGTGCATTAGAGCTCATACATCTCTGTCTCGGACTCGGCCTGCAGTGTGGATCTCCGCTGGGATTCTTGGGTCCGGCTCTGCTGAGAAAGCACACACAGACTGATTTCCTCTTATTTATGCCACTCTTTCTCTTTATTCCCTCCTCCTGCTTTATTGCCTCCCCTCCCGTTCTGCCTGTGCTGCTTCTTTTACTACTTACCGACCTTCACTTGTCCTTCATCCATCTGATCGACACACACACACACACACACACACACATAGCAAGACATTTGCTAGAAGGCTGGATTTGTATAATTGTGTTTGTGTGAGTTTGTGTGCTGGAAATAGCCTCGTCCCTGTACGCTGCTCATAATTAGCCGGGCCGATGCTCTGAAGCTCCGTGCAGCGGAGACGGAATACAATCGGCCCATAAAACGCGATGCCTGCGCCGCTAACTGAGTGGCACTTGAGCGAGAATCACATTTTCTAACTTTAATTCCCCCTTTTTCTGTGTTTCCCAGTGATCTGCTGTCTTCGGGCTACGTGGAGAAGCATCTGTCAGAAAACGGGAAGACGGTCGTCACCAGTGTAAGATTTTGCAAATCATCTCCCCTCACGTTCATGCTCACACACTGTTTCCTGTTCAGATGGGAGCTACAGTAACCTCAGTGACCCCTGATGTCAACATACAACCTGCATCTGGTTATTTGGATGATAGTAAAAGTATTTATACCAATAATGGATGTGCACAGTCTCACTTTGGCCCCTTTCTTCTCAGTGTTTTGGATTTATTGCACCAACTTTCCTTAGATTCTCACTGCTGCCATCCACTTTTTGACTGTAGCTTGTAGAAAATTTGTGGCTGATGAATATAGTCGAGCATCTGGAGACTAAAAACAGAGAATAAAGGACAGTACATATTATATTTAACTCCAAATTAACAGTAATGTTGCAGCGTCTTCTGGAAGTCTAAATAGCAACGACAGTTAACCCCCAAATTGTTCATAGCCATCTCAAATTTTGATTTGTAATACATTCTTTACTTGACTAATAGTTTTTTTTTCCAGCTGGAAATGACATAAACAAGTGACAGAAGACTTTGTGTGAGGTGATAATGATGGTTTTACAGTATTTCTATCTTTTCATTGTCTTTTTTAATCGCATGTCCAGAATTACCATTGAAATTGGTGCATATTCTT